AAATTTATTGTTAATTAATGAGTTTCCAAGAAGAGTTTTGAGGTCTTCTACAGCTGCAGCTGCAGTTTGAACAAAGGAGCAGATTTTTACAAGTTTGAGGGCTTTTTTATTAACTTAATCTTGTTTCCCATATTGTTCAAAGTGAGACACTCTTTGGAGATTCCAGGGGAGAATTAACTGACTCGGACACAAGGCGTGCACAGACCCTCACTGTTATAATGCACTTGTCTCTTCTGATATTTTAATTCACCAGTTTCTGTCCTCATGCTCTCATGTCTGTGATTCATATAAGTGTATCTACTTCAGATTAATATGGTGCTTGCTTATTTTGTACTGGAAATGACATGGAGGTCATTGTACCTGCTGCATTTTGCGGAGAAACCAGTTCAGAATGGCCAAGATATCTCTAATTTTACTGCAGTTCGCAAGGTCACTGTAGCATCTCCATGCCCTGAATTGCAGCTGGTGGCTCAGTGTAATCCACAACAGCCCAAGATCTCTGGGAAAACTCCCACAGAATGTAGAAAATTAGTTTGAGAGCTGCTGCAACCACCTCTTTCTGTGTTGTCTTTTCCTTGCTCTCCCATGTTACCTGACTTCTAACAAAAAAGGGACCGCTGTTAAGATACGCGTATGGTCACGTACCCTATGAAGGTGTTCCTAAACACAGGTGCTGCCTAAAAGCCTGTTCTTTTATACTAGCTTTGAAAAATACAGGGTTATTAACAGCAAATACGAGAATTACCTGGCAGTGCCTGTGCTAAGGAAGGTGTAAAAGTTCTGTATGTGTCCGATATTCACCAAATCCTTTCTCCAACCTGGTTCACAGGTGGGACTGAAATCGGTATCAAATGCTTTTCAGCATTCTGTGCTCTTATAGGATGCGGATGTTTTGTGACAGGCAAGGAAAACTTTAAAGTATATCATTATATATTGTATAGATGACAAGGTGTTCTGCGATTTGTGGCAAATGTTGGGAAATGACAAAGCAATACATAGTAAAGTGTAGAAGAAGCATCTGGTGGGTCTGAGTCTGTGTTCCAGGAATATTAGGAACTTCTGTCTCAAAATGCATGGGTTTCTGAACAACATCAGCTGTGGATACGAAAGAGAAATGGCCAATTGCTTATATGACTGTGTTGAAATACATTGAGCGCTTCTTCAAGTCTTTGTTGTCGTCTTAGCCTCTGGTGAGCAAAGAGAAGGGAGTGGGCTGGTCGACGTTAGCAGGCAGCAGAGCTGGCAATTTTCACAACACTCTCCTCTTTCAGCTCCCAGCAAAGAGATTAAGATGTGACTCTAGCTGAATTAGGACATTAATGGGCTTTGTGCTCTTCATATTACATGTACTACCTTGTCATAAATAATTCTGAACATGAATTTATTTTGAGATTAAATTGTTGTCCTTGATTAATATGATTAACACAAAATAGAGATTCATGGGTTTAAGTCTTGAAAGTACTCTATTCCACATAAAAATATGTTTTGTGTTCCACAACAGAATGCTTTGACCTGTGCCAAATCAGCATAAGTGAATTAGTTATAATCCCTGTGCGTTTGTAATTACTAAAGTGGTTTGGATGGCTTTACTTAGAATTAATTCCTGACATCATCTTTAAGTATAGAAATCAAACTTGTTGTAATGAAGATTGTGTCCATAAAGTTCTCACATTTCGCATCTTTACCAGTAGTCATAATAAACTAGAATCGTGTGATTCATTGCCTACCTTAAGCATTTGTTCTTTCCGATATTGCCAAGCTACTGAGGTGTAAACAGAAATGTAAATATATGCCTGCGGAGGGGTGATTGTTTGGGCTTGCACAACAGTACTGAATCACCAGAGCAGGTCTCCTTGCTCTGTACCGCAGACTGCTCAGAAGTGCAGCTCCAGAGCACAGAGAGCTTGTTTGGGCTCAATGAAGCTTGCGAGTCGCTGCTCTAAACATATTCCGTCCTAATCATAATTTCTAAACTAGCGCTTTTCAGTTCACAGGTCCATGATGAGATATAAAAAATATTCAGCTTAATAGTCAGTAAAAGGGGCTTCTCTCCTATAACCTCTGTAATCTGCCGAAGTAGCTAGGTTTTATTTAGTACATGTGTGAAAGGAGGAAAAAGGAGAGGACCTCTACAGCACTTAAGCTATTGTTTCTAGAAAGTTGTTTCAGGCATTCTTCCAATAAAAACGCAGGTTGCTATGCTTAGGAAGTTGCAAAAGTTGTTGTGTTATTATATGAGTATTTTACAGCTATACAATAAAAGCTTGAGTATGTAAGGATTCTACAGCCGACGGCATTTGTACCAATTCCTGTGTGTTCAGGGAGCGTGTGTGTGTGCATGCATGTGTATACTGGGAAAAAGAGAGCATGCGTGTGCAGGGAATTGTCACAAACATGCCAGTTGCTCCCATGAGACAGCTGATTTTTTGGCTGCATCTCTATATTACCCCATAACAAGCTTCTTTAACTCTTACAAATTGTTATTCGAGTGATTTATTGAGTTTGAGGATGCTGCCCCACATCACAAGCATGGCATCTTTTCTGGGATAACTATTTGAGAATTTTAAAGAAAAGCCAAGAACAGCAGCACAGATCTGCAGAGAGGTGGGTGTTACAAGCTGAGCACATGAGCTATGTAAGGATAATTGCCACCCAGCTTTTATGCAAAGGTGATGCTGTTAATGAGCGCTGCAGTTCCTAGGAAAGCAGGCAGCTTGCAGAGAGTTGCTCGGGACAACAAATTTCCCAGATATGGGAACCGAAATGTAGATTCACAAACTCGTGCTTGCGAGTTCCAGAGAAGTATGACTTTCATACTAATCATGTTCATCTTACACCGATAAGCTCAAGCAATGTTCCAAGGCTTTGGCCACACCTTCCTCCTCTGCTGCTGCAAGTTGTTGTCCCTGCTAACTCCTGCATGTCACCATGAAGAACCTGGACTGCAGGTTCAGGCAGTGCCCTCCCAACATTGAAGTTGGGTCCGGTTGTCTGGGTCCATGTGCTCTGACCATCTCCAGGGATGGATGGAGATTTGTAGCTTCTCTAGGCCCTTTCTCCATCATGTGATCACCCTTGTTGTTAAAGAATTAAGATTTTTTTTTTTAATGTCTGGTCATAATTTCCTTTGTTGCACCTTGTGTCGGTAGATTCCCATTCTTTTGCTGTGCACCTGTGAGAAGAATCTGGCTCTGCCACATCTGTACCTACGCAGTAGGTAGTTGAAGGCAGGAATGGGACCCCATCATTTGCCTTCTCTTCTTTGGGCTGCATAAGCACGGGTCTCTCAGCCTTTCCTTGTGCACTTGAGCCCCCTGACCATCTTGACTTGCTCAGGTCAAACTGGACTTGCTCAAGTTTGTCGATGTCCTTCTTGTGCTGGGGAGCCAAAACTGGGCACAGCACTCTAGCTGTGGCAAGGGTCAAATAAAGGAGAAAATCGCTTCCTTAAACCCGCTGTCTTTGCTTTCTTACTAGTGGAGCCCACTATGCAGCTATGTAGCACTCAAGATGATCACTCACTTAGAACCTGTCCACCAGGACCCTGAGGTCCTTTTCTGCAGAGCTACTTTCTATCCAGTCCATGCCATTTGTGCTTGTGCTTGAGACTAGTCTGTCCAAGTGCAGGACTTCATATTTGACTTCGTTGAGTTTCATGAGGCTGCTCTCAGCCCATTTTTCCAGCCTGTCAAGACCCCTCGAAGCGGCAGCCTTACCCTCCAGCTTATCAACCATGCTCCTCAGTTTCACGTCGCCTGCAAACTTGTTGGGGAATGAGATTTTCCCTGTCTCTTCCTTACACATCATCCCTGAAGTTCAGCCAAATCCAGACGGATAGTTTGGTGAAGAGGAGTAATGTGCTCTTAGGCTAAGACATAGCTAATTAAAATGCAGTATCTATCCTCACGTCATCATTAGCTTAGTGGCAGCTCTAGGTAGGAGGGAAGTATTTTTCCTAATGGACTGATTCTGTACAAATTCTGCTGCTATCTGCCCCAGAGTGTTGAACTGGTTGCAGCAGCAGACTGTTGTAACGTAGCTGCTCTTAGAGCATGCTCCTCTGCAGGTTTTTGTTGTTTGTTTTTTGGGGAGAGTTAACTTAGTGTATCCATTCAAGGCTAAATTCTAAAATTCTTGCTTTATCTTCACTTTGTAGACAAACAAATTCTGCTCCTGTGTGGCTTAAAAAAAAGGGCATAATGCTGCAGTATTTTTCTTCAATGTCAAAATTAATCAAATCTTGGAAAACTTTGCCTTCTATTGCTTGCATAAATGCACATATGCAAACACTAGTTTGCATTTTATCGGTTATCTGGTTGCTCAGTTTGTAGTGAAAATTTTACAGGAAATACTTTTGCCCATCTATATACTTAAATAATAAGTGGAAAGAGGATGGGTGTCTGGCAGGTTGAGAGGGAGAAAACCTCAGATTTTCAAGACTGCTTAGGTAAGAATGGTTCAGTAAATCAGATGCCATACATAGGTACTTGAGGGGAAACCCACTACTTGGTTTTTGAGCATGAACAAGTGCTTGTTGAAGGAGAAAATGCCTGCTGAAAAGGGGAAAACACCATGCCACCTATCGTCACCAGCTAATTCTCAGGCTATTTCTTTTTTTTTTTCCCTTCTCTTGCCAAGAAATATAATCATCCTATGAGACCATACAGTAAACACATCCCGAGACAGCAGTGCAGAAAAGAAGTTAACTGAGCACTCCTCCTCCAGAGGAGGAGGAGGAGGAGACCTAGGTAGGGCTGAAGAGGGCTGCAGGAAAGCTGAGAAGGAGGCACAGAGGAGGGTGGGAGCCCTTGCACAAGGGCTTGTTGGCAGAAGGCGGCAGGAATGAGATACGTTCCAATTTGGGTGGCTCTGGGAGGAGCAAGTGTTGGGATTAAAGTGTATGGATGAAGTTGTTCCTTTTCTTTTCAGACGCAGACAGTGAGTTTCATGGGGTGGATTTTCTGCCAGAAGATTTCAACGAGGCTCCAGAGGAGACAGGAATGAGGGTGAACAAGAAATACTCCTGTCTACCTGCTGAGGAGAAGGGGATCCACATTATCAACATCCGAGCTATTGAGGATATAGGATATGACCAGCATGAGAGTACAGTGAGTAAAGGACTTGCCAGATGTGTCATGACTGGCATTCTGTGCTTTACCCCTTAGCTTATTTATCATTCTTTCTATCCCCAGTATGCTCCAAAATCCTCTCCCTCCCTTCCTTAGAAGTGCTGAGGAGGATTGCCATCAGCCACAGTACATGCTAATTTAGTGGGGTTTGTTCTTTGGCGCGAAGAAGGGACGTGAGGGATCCTTGTTTAACCTGCAGCGTGAAAAAAGGCGTTGGCTATTCTCAGAGTAATCAATCTGGCCATAAGGCTGTGGCAACCTTCAGATGTCTTTGCCCATATAAAGTAGAACAGAAAAAAAAAGTCTAAAATTTCATGCAAAAGCTATTGTTAACATTGGTAATGTTAAACTAATGTTCTGTGGCACAGAATAGAGGTTAGATTTCTGGTGGCATTAATTGTGCCTTGGTTAAATTCTTGAACACCAATTTTAAAGGAAGTTAGTAATATGAATACCAACGGGATTAGGAGTTAGTTATGCCATAAACACATAAAAAGGAGTTTATTCAGGTGAAGGAGTTGAGGTGGAGTAGGCTACATAAGAGATCTGGCTGGGGAAAGACGTACCAGAAGAAGCAATACTTGATTCATTCTGCTTGTGCTTAATTAGGATGGAGCATGGAGGAATAATTCTGCCAGAGTGTAAACATCCCTCCTGCTGTGGTAAAACTGAAATGTCTTTTCTGTGTCTCATTTCCAACCAAAGGGACATGAGCCTTCCATGGTCTAAGTCAACACAGCTCTATTTCGTGTAGCAGCACAGCGAGAAAGGATGTGGCCTATGAGTACCCTTCAGCATTAATCCACATCCTTGAAAGAATCTAACCATTCCTGTCTTGAACACAGGACCAACAGGCTTCTCTGAGTCTTTTGGCTGCATCCCTTTTGTGGTGGGATATAGCTATTCTCATATATTAATAAATTTATTGAGGCTTTAGTATCCCCAGTGCAGTGCCTTCTCCTAACTTATCTGTGAGTCAGCTTTTCAACCAGAAAGCCCAAAGAAATGGGAAGAAGCTCTCGTCCAGCTTCTGCAGCGTGACCTGTCCCCTTCCCGGTGGCTGTGGCTCCAAGAAACAGAGAAATTAGGGATTTTCAGTGCCCCTTTCCTCCACCCAAGTGATGCCCCAGGAGCAGAGGAGCTGTGGCCAGGATGTACTGGTCTCTCCTGAGCTCCCCAAGCAGTCAGAAACATCTGGCACACTCATCTTCAAGAGCCACTTTCAGTCCCGCCTGTTTCCTTTATTTATTAGTCTCCAGAACAGACCAGCTAATTGCTGTCCCTCATAAAGCCAGCCCAATGAGGGTCAGAAGTGGTTGGGGTCTGAGTCTCTTGCCTGTTTTATCTCCCCATGCTTACCTGAACATCTGTTGGTTCAGCCTAGTTTTTCAGAAATTGATGTTTAATTGATTAATAAGATCAACAAATCTTTAAAAAGTAAATACAGTTAGTTATCTTAAAAGAAATCCCAATGTTCCTGGGTCTTGTTTACAACAACTGTTTACTATGAAGCGGCATTATATCCTGAAAATCCAGTTAGTTACTATTTCTTAATGTTTTGTTTCTGTAGAAATTTGCATAACTTGAGTTGCCTGCCACCAGTAGACTGTCAGCTTGCTTTAAAAAAATATTCTGAATTCACAGGTGCATACCATTAATCACAAAGCAATCATAAAGTAATAGTTATTAATGGTCTTCTATATCATAGTTATGCTTAAGAACTACATAGGAATAGCTAGACAGGGCACAAGCATGAGCAGCCTGTGCCCTGAAGGATGTGTTATTGCCATGGCTGAGTAAGACAGACTTAGAGGGAGACTTTGGAGCAGGGGAAAGAGCGAATGGGACAAAGAGTGATCTCCATGGGAGTCGTAAATGCTGGATTATTTTATGATACATTTATGTATTTGGAGCAGAGGGTTTAGGTTAAATGGAAAAGAGGGATGGGATCCTGAAAGAAAAGGAGAAACAGATAGGAAAGGCAGGTATGGAGTGAAGCTGTGAGGGACTGAGGGGATGGGGGCCTGTAGCCAAGCGGGCCCTGGGCAGGCATAGTCAAGTTGGGCTTTGGAGAGCAATGAATGTTCTGGCATCCCCACCTCGGCAGACGGCTGCGCCACGTCCTGCCTGGCACCTTGGGCTTCTCGCTGTCTGCCTGTCCTCCTTGCTGTGTGTTACTGCTCACCTAATTACACTTGTCTAATTACTCCTTCGGTGCATTTCCTCCTCCCGTCAAACTCAGGAAGATGGGCTTTGCTGCTTGAATTTGTTGCCTGAGTAAAAATCTCCCTGGGGCAAAAAGGGAAAAACAGACTGTCCCTTAAAGGTATTGATTTATAGTTATGGTAGCTGGGACCAGCCCTCCCCAAAGCAATTTTCAGACAAGCATCCAAATTTGTGTAACATTGCGTGGGTTTCAAGAAAGTTTTGTCCATATTGGCTGCAATATACTGTACAGTAAGCGCAGAGGTTGCTCTTTTCATCTGGGGTTTAAAAATTGGACTCTTAGAAACAACTAATTGCCAATAACTTACAGTCACGGTTTTATGTATGAAACAGGCAGGAGGTGTACACATCCCAAAAGGGTTTTGACCGATATGATGTACAACTGATGGCCAATTGCTGTCATTTGGAGCACAAGTCCTTTTCCCTGTGTGGAGGCTTAACATTATGCTGTAAAATTAAAAGCCAGAAAACATCGCTGGTCCCTGAAAAGCCACTCCTGTTGTATTTTTTGTAAAAACAAATGCAAGTTAATAGTGAATTTTCATTTTTTTAAAAATAGTCTGTGCATCTCCAAGGGTAGACTTGTGATTTATGCTTGGGAAGTGCTATTGAAAGTAGAAATGAATAATTGTTAGTACTTTTGAGTGTTTCTACAGTTGCCCTGTGCAGTTGTCAGATGAATGCTTGGAAATGGAATTGTGTTTTAAGACTTACATTTCTTGCATCTTGCAACACTTAACGCAGCAGTAATTCAAGATGGGAATAAAGCCTTTGGCACCATCAGATTGCAAAGCAACACAGGTTTTATAAGTGTGGGGGGGAAAAAAGTGATGAACTCAGTAAGCAATGAACCCACGTCCCTGGCTACGGTCCATCGGCATTTTTGGCCGCGCTTCATGACCAGCTGGCTCCCTTCAGTCTGTATTTAAGATGATCTCTTTCTCAGATGATACAAACTTGCAGTGAGAGATAAGAGAAGTGAGAAATGTTTGCACATGATATTAATCTGTTTGTCAGAATTGAAACGCAGATGTCTTGGGTGGAAAAGGACAGATGATCCTAGTGGTGATTAACCCCCAAAGGAGAAAACCAAATCCACCGAGTAGCTGACTTATGAACTAGTCTGACGGTAATTAGATTAAATCCCAGTCATTTTATCTATTTATTTCTGGCCAATAAAATCCCAGCTGGCTATCGGTAAAATTGCAGGTGTTAACTTGCAAAATTGTTTTGAGTGAGTAGCATGTGGGGGCTCCTCCCATATGCATGCTGTTTAGAGACCAGTCATTGCTCCAGGCAAGAAGGGGTCCTTGATACAAGGATATGATCTGTCTGGTGTCCGTGTTGGCACGTGTACTCATTATTCTCCTCTCTCCTTCTCTCCACACCCCCATTCCCTGCTTCCAGTTATTAAATTCCCTATCCAAAAATCCAGATGCTGACTGCAAATATGGACTCTACTTTAGAGATGGGAAGAGAAAAGTAGACTACATCCTAGTGTATCATTACAAGAAGTCCTCAGCAGGGAGAACACTCGCCAGGAAAGTTCATCACAATGATTCAAGTGTCCGAAGCACCAAGCAGGACCAGCCGCTTCCCGGGAAGGGAGTGCAGCTGGAAATGGGGGAAAGTGAACCTCACGTGGATTACCACGAAGATGACAAGAGGTTTCGCAGGGAGGAGTACGAAGGGAACCTCGTGGAGGCTGGTCTGGAACTGGAACGCGATGAGGATGTAAGGAGCCGTTTCAAACAGTTAAAGATAATGATGATAACTGGCGGGGGAACCCTGGGGGGTGTTGGGGGCTTTC